ATAATCGATTGCGAACAAGATGAGGCTATAACATAATCACTCCCCACTCGAAACGAACAATAATTTGTTCACACATCGATGGCAGAATGCGAAAGATGAGAACATGGCCATTCGAGAAGATTGTGCGAAATTCAATTCATATGGGCCTAGTAAATCATCGAAATTTATTTAGTGCATTCGAAAATTTAATAGTTTATTATGGGAGATTTAGAGCGTATAGCGTCGAGAGAGATAACAACTGGTTTGGATATGCCGAAAGCATGATTTATGATTAATGTGGAGAGCCTTGAACTCGTGAGTCCAACGCACTCATGTCTCTGGAAGACGGTTTATACCTGGATTACCTGGATTGGCCAGGCTATCAAACGTTTGTAACGTTGCTGGCCACAATGCTCGCGGAAGACGGTTTATATCAGGGCTAAATCTCGACTTGTACGTATTCCTGCAAACCTTGTTCTGTTTGAGTTATAACCTCCAGTCAGGTCATCTTGTTCGAGTGATCGATCAGAAGATATTCCTCTGAATTTACCTGATTTAACAATCTGATCGCCATATTGTGGTTTGGAATTCCCAGGCTAGACTCTTGGCTAAACACAACGCTACTTTACACTTATGATTAATCAGTTTTGCCGATTCACTTGCACTAACACCTTTTATGTTTTGCTTAAGCAGAATTTTATGTTTTGCTGAATTCATTCAACAGAACAAAGTGAACACAGACGTGAATTGTTGTCATGTTTCACATTCGAAGAGACCACAAAACAACTACTATTCTCCTCATTTAGTTTGACATAAGCACACATTCGCCTTAGACGTTTGCAGACTTGAATTTCGCTTGGCGACAGCATTATTTGGTAGATATGGTAGATCCTTATTTCTTCTTATCTGCGCAAATGCAAAGTCACACAAGAAAATGAAATTATCAGATGCATGCAGCCACGCACTGAATGTGTGTGCATTATATTGCAAATAGATGCACATTCAATCAACAATCCTGAAATCATTTGGAATTCCGAATTGGTAATCACGATTGGAAAACATGCGAGAAACCTCACTTTAATGTCAAATAAGATTTGTAAAAATCGCATTAGAAGAACGACGCAAGAAAGATTTATTCGACTTGATTATCTCGCAATAGTCTCCTCGAATTATCGTCTCCTCGAAGCAACACAAATGAATACGCGTATATCGTTGGACTTCATTTGATCTTCTGTTTCATAAAATATATCGTCTGCCTAAACGATATCGCTGATTTTGAGCTCTCTCCTGAATTTCTTCATTCAGCTCAGCTTTCGTCTAATTTATGGCGTGAAGTGATAGTTGAGTAACGCTTAACTGAGCAACTGAGCTCTATACGATCGTAATGAGAACAATTCCGAATAATGCGTAAAGTTCAATGCACACAAAATACGATGGAAGAACGGATGCAAATATCAGTAGACTACATTGCTTTTGACATGTTTGTTTCCACAAGAAGAATATAAATGATTGTTTATGAACAAATTTAGCTTCACGACTCACTTTGGCTTCATGCATGCGGGGATTAGTGAGGATCATCTGGATATCAAAAATTATGGAATATCTGAAAAATGAATCATTGTAAACTTTTGCAACTTCTTGTAACTCTTGCTGAAAAAAGTTTCAATAGAAATTTCAAGCGAATTTTCGAAAGATCATTTTCGATAGGCAAGTAGACTGAAACTGAAATTTCGAACAGCCATCGCAGAAAAAAGTGAAGTAAATGATCGCAGAGCATATTGCTTGTACCACAATCAGTTTATTAGCCAAGTCTTCCTAACGATAAGAATGTTTTCAGCTTCAAGTTTGCTGTAACATTTCATCGGTGAAGTTGTGGCCAGTCAATGTAGAGGCACACCGTTGGCGTCGAGGCACATTGGCGTTCGAGAAGAATTTCGAGTTTGAACCCAACGATATCTGGTCTGAGTTGCAGGTGTCTGTGTGTGACGATAAATCAGAGCCCACTCTTGGCTATGCAGAACCAAGAGAAGGCAACAAATGTACGCACCATATTGGACAAACCCTCACCATTCCGCCAGGTGATGATTTGATGGAACTTTGTTCGTGTTTCTGGCTATTTTTGGCCAAATTTTGATTTGGGAGTGAGAATTACTTCGCAAGTGAAATGTTTCAGTTGATCACATACAAGAAAATACTCTTTTTGTTCTTTTATCGTTGCATATTTCGTATTATCTCAGTAATATATCAGCAAAAACGGATGAAAAACGATTGCAACTCAGTTGAGATGATTATTGAATAGAGGGTTGGAATCCATAAACTGAAGTCGTTAAAATTTTGACAATCTGATATAAAGTTCTACTCTCCATCACAGCGCTTCTCATAGCGCTGAAATTATCCATTTTGGGTAGTTTGGAGGTGTGAAGGGGTAATGGAGGGGGTCGGGAAATTAATATTTCGTGCAATTGTTATTTTATGATAGAAAGCCATTGTAGTGATGGTTTTTTAAACTCGAATTTGCGATTATTTGATAGCAACATTCTCCATTCTTCTATTTTCTGAGTGTCATTGGCTCGTCCGAGCCTAACAGGGTTTTTCATTTGTTTTAAGAGGGTTTTCATTCTTTTCCGTGCTGTTATAGTCGCTTTCATGACTTTTATAACCAAAAGTGTTGTCTTCTGCTAATTTCTCATTCATTTCACTCAACAGTTAAGATTAAATTCTCATTCTATCGAATACACTCTATAATTGATCAGTGGACTGTCGAATGTTATTGAGCAATTCAATTGGATTGTTATATTGTTGACTTCGACTGTCAGCACTCGTCAACGCATCCAGTAAATAGTAAAGGCTACAGAATAAGAAATTGATGCGAACTGTGAAGTGAAATGAGACGAAGTGAATAAGAAAAAGTCATGAAGAGAATGATATTCGCATGTGATAGCTATGAGAGTGAATACAACACGTCTGAAAAGAATGAGAATCNGGGGGGGGGGGGGGGGGAGGGTAGCGGCGGCCTGCCGGATCGTCATAAGAAGTAATAGAGCACCCGAACTTGAGAAACCACTGCTCTATCACAAACTGTTCATTTGAACCCTAAATCTCAAATTCGAGCGAAATATTTGACTTCAGTCAGGTTGCGTTTCAAACTGATTGAAATTGTCCAAAAATTGAACAATGATGCAACTCATTTAATCTTAATGATAATTTTAAACCATAGTATAATCACTTCCAATAGTATTCCCCGTCTATAGTGATCAATTTGTATGAATGAGCGCGACTGCGCTATTGAATTGGGATATATCTCCAGAAAATGGCTACACCACCTCAGGAANATCACTCGACAAAATATATGTTTTTCTGAATGAGGAGATTGTTACAATCCCATTATCGTACTTACGATGATAAAAATATAATAAATCCTAGAGTACATGCATTCAGAATGTCAACAAATGCGTTCAGTACATCAGCATTTTAGAATCAATCGAGACGAGTCGTTGGTATTTGATATGCTACACAAAGTCAAGTGGATGTTCACAGTGTCATCTGGAGGCGTTATGCGATAATGAGTTCACGAGTGAATGTGCCGACATTTGGATGTTGAATTCAATCAGTGTGATACGCAACGATAGTATGACGATGTGGATGAAGATTGGAAAGCGTTATCCATTCATCAAATGGACATCCGTGCAGATCACTGTGAAGGATCAGGCTCGTGATAAACGATTAGCCAAATATGAACAAATACCTCAGGTATGTTGATCAACCATCGATAACATATCATCCGATACGAATATTTGGCTGGATATAAGCCTGAACACAGCCTAATTCAACCCCCTCCCCACTCCTCCTTAAGAAAAAAAATAACGATAGCTATTTCGAGCAAAACCTCCATCCGCTTCCAGTCAAAACTTTTGCTGGAAAGAGAATGGTTTTTGAATATTACTGATCTCATTGGATATCAAACTGACATCGAAGATTGTATTCTTGAATGGGAAAAACCATTGTTTGCAATTACAGTTGTCATAAGCACGGCAACCACAATGGAAATTATCCGCTCAACTGCAGGTTCATCGAAAGGGAAATTTTATCTAATTGTAGCGGTTGGATTTTGGGAGTTAGGCCTATTCTGTATCCCTTGAGCTATCGGCTTTCAGAACTTATTCTCGTGCAGTTTCTAGAGAGTATGACTGGTTATGATGAGTGTAACTGAAAGAACTCTCTGTACAGATTCGAACATCCCAGTTAGGTGATCCATCAAAAGAGATGTATGAAATTTACCTGCGAATATCTAGATTTATAAGATATAAACTTAATCTGGCTAGTTTAAGGGAATGTTTATGATCAACTTTATGATTTTATGATCGTTAGATTGTGATTTTTTCTGATTTTTCTGATCAAAATATGATATTTCAGTTGGACAAACAACTGGAAATAGAGCTAACAGATTTGCATCCAAGCGGTTGGTATTTGGTGGAAACGTGCTTACACATTGAACCACCGAAAAGTTTCGTTGAAGAGTATGACGTTGAGTTGAACGAATATTCAAGGGATATGTGCAAAACGGGTTCGTATCGAACAAAGGCATCCTCAGCCACCAATTTATTCGTATTGTTATCACCGTTTCGAGTCATTTTTTGTTTCGTTAATGTTGTGTTTATATTACGATTGTTGTTGTTACATCCTTTATAGTATTCATTCAAATAAACTCTTTTACAATAGTAATTATACGAACGCCTAACAAATATTTTCAATTGCTGAGGAAACTTGGGCAGAATTTGATTTGCAGTGAACAGTGAAAATTAATAATGGTAAAAAAATCATCCGCAGACAAGACATTTGAATTTGGGGACTTGCTATACGATCATGCTATAATACAAATAAACTTTATATGATGGACGAAAAAGATTTTAAGTTTTGTTGAAATGGTTTGACATCATTTGAACAAGTTGTTAAGTCAGAATCTGCGGTTCAGCTGATTTATCTTACACTGGCTTAATCAGAATTGAGAATACGAGGGGAGAGATGGAAGGAGCCATAATATTAACAGCGATACGAGGGTTAAATCGGACGAGACTGAGGTTCGCACTGAACAAATGATAATTTCTACGAAACAAGTGAGCACCTCAATGTTAGCTGATCAAACAAATTAGATCAAAAAATAAATGCAAACATTGTTCAACTGGACAACCGCTATGAAACTGCATAGAATACTAGGCTGACCTCAGTGAGAAGCATGATCGAGAGAATGAAAATCAACGATTCCAGTGAGGAATAGGACTGCTGCCGCATGGATTCAGCGGAATTACACAATGATTCCGTACATCGACAAATCGATGGGCTTTCATCATTCGAGCAATAAATTCTGCCACCTTTCAGCACACCTTCACGATACAACTCACTCTCACAACCGCGAATCACAAAGCGTAAACCTAAATTTCCGAATTTTATATTGTAATTTCAAATCCTTCGGCTTTCTGATATGGCTCAGCACTGAAGCGTCAAAGAAATCAAATTAATTTACTCACTGCAATCAGAGGCAGCAATGACCTACAATTCTAAGAATCCTCCAAACGGGCTGCTCAATAGCTTCTTTTATCTGTCAATAGGTGGTAGAAGGCAGCCGGGTGCTAAGAAACTCGGGATCAGTATTATACATTCAGAAATTGTTGGCTACAACGAATTATATCAATTTAGATGGTGGTGATTCAGTGAAACTCGTTTGTATTTAGCGATTGCACTTAATGATCAAGAATAATTTCTCAGTTTGATAATCAAGTACAAATTGATAATCAGGTACATTTCTGATCGCTTCATTGAAAGATGCACCTCCAGGCATACACATTTGACAAACCTAAGTCTTCATTTCATGTTTCTCTAATCAATCACAAGACAAATCGAAGGAACCACCTACTTACCCTCAGCATCATGAAATTGCTAACTTTTACAAAATTCGCTAACAATACCCAATGAACACATCAGATGCCTCACTCACCTTGTTTTCGCACAGAAATCTTCAGACAAGCGTCTCCATAAGAGCACTCCCGATCTGGGACTGTTTTGAAGTTAAGACCTGACGAATCAGCACACCATTTGCTCACTGCAGGAATGTGATAAGCAGAATAGAGAATCGCTTTGAGTGCATGTTGGGCATTTGCAGGTGTGGAAGCGGGCAGTTGAGATACACAACTGTAGCATTGCAGTGCGGTGACTGTACATGAACTCATCGACACCGCCAAAAATACGGCAAGCATGATGATGGCGATCCGTGAACCAGTAGACAAATTGACAGTCAACGCGGAACAGTAATAAACGTGAATTTTGAAAACGATAATGAAACAGTTTTCAGTGTGAACATTGTTGAAAGTTCATTAAAACAAACAACTTGAGCTGAGAAGTCCGAGAAGCAATAGGCGAAGTTGCAGTACTTCCGAAATATGAATCTTTGCAGTTAATATAAATTCACAAGCAGTTTGTTGTGTCAAACATGAAACTTCGATAGGAATCATTTAGGAATATAGGAATCGGGATATTTTACTGAATAAACTTCAAAGTATTTTAGTAACGTTAACATTCAAAATGTTCAGTAATTTCCAAAAATTCATCTGGAATGATCATGGAAGTTATGCATTGCTCCATGAAGCGATCTGTCGAAACATCATCAGTGAACACAATTGAAACTACTGGCACCAGCCGGACAACCGATATGTCTAGTGAAGTGATCAAAATCGTTGGTTATTATAACGGCGGATTAAGAAGGATTAAAAGCCTTACTAGTGGTCATATAGGTGGAAGTAAGCTTGTAAGGTTTGAGTGCTTTAAGCAAGTAATTGCTATGAGCATTTAAGAGCTATTACATGCAGCAATGATTAGATAATTAAGGCCTTTCATAGAGCCGAGCGATTATCGTCGTTCCATTTTGCAATCTAGGCATAAATGGCATAAATGCAAGAAGATGTCAGTCAGTGCGTTTATTCATCGAGGTGCGTTACTATAGTAACAATTGAATTGCGTTCGAGCATTTATATTGGTTTATGCTCGACTCAATGATCTTTGCAGCAGCACACGCTAAATCCATGTTAAATGGATTAACCTATGCAGATCGCATATCCCTTGGGATATCCTTGATCCATCTATATAGACAGCATAGATGTTTGAAACGGTCACTTAAGAAGACTATGAGAAAAGGATTAACAACATCTTATAGGAACAATTTTTTTGTTGAAATACATTTGTGGCGCCGTATTTCTTGGAATACGTCTGTACGTAGAATAGCTAGATTTGCCGAACTGAGCACATCTCATCATTGCAGGTATTGCTTCTGAGGTTTGGTCATGAACATCGGTAGAGGTTGAGTAGAGAATAAGTATAATTACTGCTCTTCAAAGACTTTCGTATCATAGGTTCACACTGCCTTACCCTATAAGTTACATCCATCAGTCCAATGTACACTGTGAACCTAAAGATTGATTGGTAGAAGCAGAAATTGGACGAAGATGCTGGAAAATTCGAATTCCATATGAAATTCCTCGAAATTTAGGTAAAATGAGCAAGCATCCAGCGAGCCTGACAATTGGCACAAGAGTTGCATGACAGAAGCACCGAATGAACATTATCACGAAATAATCTGTTTCTCGTTACTTTCACGAGCACATACTTTAAATTTTAACTTGGTGAATCAACAACTCGAAATGTGGCTATCCCTCTACTCATGATCAGAAAGGATATGCTTCCTCTACAGTTATATCTGAACTATCTTAAAGGTTTCGAAGCTTATATACGTTGCTGATAAGAAATAGAGATTCGTCGAGATGTACTCCATTATGTGAACAATTCATTCCTCTTCGTTTAGCTGAACACTCAGTAAAATCGTTTCACTGACAGTTGATCACTGCAGATCAGCATGAGTTTTCGAGTTATGCATACGCTCATATTTGGTTGTTGAGGATAAAATTATTGATATGTTCGTCGTGTCCAACACATTCTGTGCAGTTGAAACAATATCAGACTCATCGACACCAAAACCGAATTATGCTCGTTCGTAATGTTTAACAAACTTTCCACCGTTTCACGATAAAGTAATTGCTCGGTAAAATTAATATTATTTTGAATCTGGAGATTCTACTGTATCGACTGGTGAAAAGAAATTCACATGTTTCTGGACAAACCTGGGAAGACGGTTAGCTCGAGGATCGCAATCCGCCTATTGCTAATATGAACGTATTGCTTGCTCTATAGTGATCAATTTGTATGAATGAGCGTGACTGCGCTATCGAATTGAGAAATTGGCACAAGAGTTGCATGACAGAAGCACCGAATGAACATTATCACGAAATAATCTGTTTCTCGTTACTTTCACGAGCA